AGAGCTTCCCCATCCCCAGCCCATAAATACCGCTGTTTGAACAATAAAAGTTTGCAGCTTGATCAGAACTCCTGTCTTGCTGTCACCTTTCGTGTGTCTCTTGTCCCTTCATTCCTCCCCATCTAGGTTCGCTGCCCACGTTGATGTGTCCTGCCGGTCGGGACAGTGTAAGAAGATGGTGGCAGAGAGCCCACCCCCAGTGCTGTCCTCACACCCACCTTGGTGGATTTGGCAGCACGTCAGGCCTGGCGCCAGAGGTCCCCACTCCTACACCCTGCGTCCCAGGAGCATGCCCGCCCTCAGTCCTCCCGTTGGCCCTCCTTAAACACTTCCCTCTGTTCTGCAGGCGCCTGCTGGGGTCTCATCCTTCTGGTGCACAGAGGGAGCCCACCCAACCGTGGTCTAGGCTGAGATGAGCAGGAGAGGAGGACACCATCACCCTGGGGGACAAGGTGGTCACCAGGCAAGGATAGGCAGCTCCCACCCGCTGAGGGGCTTGGCCTTCTGCCGGCTCAGAGCGCCAGAGGATGCTGGTGGCCAAGCTCATCAGCCCTTCACCCCACGGGCTTCCGCCCTGGGCCCGGGCCTCCGCGCCCTCAGGGTCAGGGCTTCAGCAAAGCCAAGAGGCCTGTGGGGCCTGAGCGTCCAGTCTCCTCTGTGGCTTTGCCACCCTGAGGCCTAAATCCTGGTCTGATGGTCAGCGGAGTCTGCCTTGTGGCCGGGGACATTAGGAACCCTTTAAGCACCATCCTGTGAAAAACAAGAGGAAACATGAACTAATGTGAAAAATACAGTTTGCCAAAACAAGCCATGTAGTGGGCAAGTTGCCCGGAGGCTGGCCTGGGCCACCATGTCCTTCTCTAGGAGTTCGTGTGGGGCCGAGGCCTCCGTCCAGGGCTGGAGCCATGGCACGTCCTTCTGTGTCCCTTCCCAGTGGGCACAGCTGCAACAATCAAGGACTGTCACTGCCCTCCCCAGCATCGGGATCCTCCCTGCTGTCTGACTGTACTGTCCCAGCCCAGCCTTGCTAGGGCAGAGGCACAGGTCCTGAGAGACTGAGAAGATGCCCAGAGATGGGGTGCCAGACACAGGTGTGTGCAGAAACGCTCACGGGGAAGGTCCAGCGGCGACAGGCTGGACAGACTTGTTCTGCTCCTCGCGGTGTCTCTGGAGCTTGGCCAGGAAGTAATAGCTCCGTCCCTCACATCACTCTTCCCAGTGGCCAGGGCACAGAGCTTCCCTCTCCAGGGACTGACAGGTGAGGCTGGAAAAGCAGTGACATCATCCGCTTGGCTCGCTTCCTCCCACTGTGTGACCAGCATCCCCAGGACCCCGGGTGCACGTGGGCCAGCAGCTGCTACAGATAACACCACAGAAGAGAAGGACAGTTCCTTCCAGATGATATGGGTCTGGACATTGCGGCCCAGATGGCTCTCACTGTTCCCTGAACTTGGCTCAGTTCTTGGAAACAGTGAGGGGCACCTCAAGGACTTGGTGTCTCCCCTCCTCCCCTTCTCTAAAGGCGGCTTAGACTGGTAGGGGATCCCACTCCAAATCCTGTCCTGGAGGTTCGCCTTCAAAGCCACGTCCGGCATCTCGGTCCTGGCTTAAGTACGGTGTCTGCCAGGGGCCAAATTGCGTTCCCCCAAATTCATATGTTGAAATCCTGATCTCCAGGACCTCAGAACACGACCTCAG